ACTCTCTCTTCTTGGCATATTGGCTGTGCCTCATTAAAACCAGTCATGCTTGTCCTAAAAACAGGAGAGGAAGTGGAGCTGGATGTGGTTTGCGTTCAAGACCCCTATGTTGATTCCAGTGTGGATTCAGAGTGCTTTGGTAATGACTAGCTTTGGTATCTGGGGCAGGGGTTGTTTTGACCGGCTGTGCTGGCAGGGGCCAAGTTTGATGCTTCTCTGTGCCAAGGATTCAGAGTTGTGGTTTGGACCTGTCTTCAGTCAGTCATGATTATTCCCCTTTCCTGGAGAGGGGTTTTCTTGCCTGACCTGAAGACTGGGAATCTGTGGATCTGTGTGTCTCACTCATCTGGTGTCAAGATTTAAAACTGGTCTGGTTCCAAATTCTGGAATAAATTTTAAACTTGGAACTGCATTTCTATGATGTGGCAGTACTTGAGGGATGAGTAAGGCCTAGGTACCAGTGAGTGAAGGCACCAAAGATGAGTGATCTAACATGTTAATCTTTCCCATTTGGCTGTCCTCCCTTCACCAGATATGCTTGGATTTAGGTGTTTAGTTACAGAGGTCTGATCTAACAAACCTGCTTGTCGCTACTCAGGGATGGATCTGGAGGCTTGGGTTGGGTTCACCTATAGCAGACAGAGACATCATGCTAACTGTAAGATGGGATGTGCTTATAAACATCTGTACGGGGTTCACTTAAACCATGACAACATCAGAACTGTTGCTGGAAAATAAGGGCTGGTTTAGACAGAAGCTAAATATGTAACGGCAATTTTGATTCAGCCTCTTTTGGTGAAGTCTACTTGAGTTCGTGTCTGACTTACCAATGGATTAGATACTACTCAGTAAAATAGCTAAGGAGGGCAGGGAACCGGTTGGGCTTGAATTGTTTTTCAGTGAGTTACTTTTTCTGTGTCACTCAACAGCATCACAACCCGATGCTTGATTTCTCTTGAAATTACTATGTCAAGTTAATGCTGTGGTATTGAGCCTGAACCTGAGTTCATTGAAATGAACTGCTCAAGAACCTTCTTTGCAGTTGCAAAAGGGTATGAAGAATGCATGTGTCCAAAATCCAGGCACAGGTGAAACTGGTCTTAAGATGGTCAGGAGCTGCAGTGACTATCTTGCTCTGTTGATAATCTGTTTTAGGTAAAACTGGAAAAAACATCTCTGGAGTTGTCACAGAACAGCTAAATAGCTGTAGGGGCACCCTGCTCTTCCTTATTCTTCCCACCACCTTAAGATCAGGGTGATTTTTTTTTTTTGCTTTACTGTATGTTAATCATATGGAATGTGTGATAATTCCTTTTATAGCCAAGCAACGGCTAGAACTTGAGGCACTACCTTATTTGCCCCTTGGTTGTGATTGGTAAGTGCCAGGATGACTGACATGGCAATGCAATCCTTCTAGATAGGTTTGTAAGTTTAGGTGGGCATTTTTCCTCCTTCATAGGGCTTGTGAAACTGGGTTCAGTCTGTCTGCTTCCGATTCTGGAGTCATCATCTGACACTAAATGGCATAATTATAAATGCTAGTCTGGCCAGCAAGATGTGAGCTTCAACATTATTCTGTGGGACTTCAGCTATAATGTCTAATCCTTAAAACTTGTATGGTAAATCATGCCTTACTGGTGTGTATATATATTGATGTCTGCATTCCTTTCATTCTGTTTTCATTATATTGGGCCTAAATACAGCACCTTACTCCCTCCCCACTCCAGGACTTATGTAGGAGGGTAAAGTTACCTTCCCTTTACAGGCAAGCAAACAGGTAAAACAACTAGCCACAGATGTGGCTGTGGACCAGCAGGACTCTGCAGAGAACTTGTACCTCCTAGTTCCTAGTCTAGTATCTAGCTACTGAGCTAGGATAGCTCCTGAGGGTCTGGACTCTGGCATTTCCATAGGGCAGAGCAGCCACAGATTAGCAAGGCTGGTTTTCCAAGAATGCAACTCAAACTTCCTGCATGTTTTCTTCAAACTGCAGCTGGTCTTTTGTGACTGGGCAGAAGCAAATGCACAGGGTTGGGACAGGCAAAGCCAAGGAGGCAGAAAATCCTTACAGCTCCTTCACATGAATACTGTATCTGATGAAGAAATGCTGCAATCTCTTGAAACTTATAAAAAGCATGAACCTATTCATCTGAGAAAGCAAATTCAAGGTACTAAATGACTGTCCAGGGAACAGGAACAGTCAATTTGAATGTGAGAAGGACTCGAGATCAAAGGGAAGGCCCATTTGATCCACTGAGGCTCACCCTCCTAATGCACTGCCCTGCTCCTTCAGCTCCACAAAGGCATCTAATTGCTTCTTGAATTACTCAAGTGTCTTAGACCTGTCTGCCTCACAAGGCTCTTCTGACTGTATTTAACATATCCAGTGTAGGGATGTAAACTGACTGATACGCTAACTTTAGTCCAACATCCTACTACACAAGTGAACAATCTGAATTCTACAGTAGGTACAAACTTGTTCTTTTGTTCTGATCTGAAGATGTCTCTAGTATTGTTTAAGACTGGAATCCCATTTCTATCAGTTGCCAGGAACATTTGTATATAATCAAAGGGCACTACCTACTGTTTCTTCATTATGATAACAACTTGGTGGCTTTTCTCAGTGTCCCATTTGATGTAAGGTATGCTCTCAAAGCTTGTTACTTCCAAAGCTCTGATCCAAACCAAGGACTTCAGAGTCCAAACATTAAAGACTATGATCCCAAATGTGGGTTGGCTGTCTAATCTCATTAGGTGCCTCGGTTCTGATCTGAAAGTTCCCACAGTGACTGCAGTCATGCACTGCGCATAGGCTGAGAGCAATAAAGGCACAGCCCTACACACACAGAGCAGTGGCACAGTGTTAGTGTTTAGAGTTTAACACAGACTCACATTCAGACAGAGAATAGAAAAAACATTTTAAAAACCACAGTGACTGAATCTATTCGCCTTCACTCACCTATTCAAACAGTTCTCAGAGGTAGGAAACAGGTTTAGATTCCCTCTTCACTGCAGTAAATCCAGCTCTACTCAGTACTTTTGAAAACTGGTGTCCCTGCTCCCTAAAGTACTGCTGCTGTAATCCAGAATTCATCCTCAGAACCCTTTTCACTTGCTCTTTCTAGACTCCTGGAACTTTTTTTTTTCCTCCTGCATAAATGGCTCAGTTTCAAAAAAGTGGTCGAGACAAGCTACCAGGAGGTGAAAAGACAGATCTTTTCCTGCCAAGAGCTGCCCTTAAGGCTCTAAGGGAAAACACCTACTACTGATTTGAAAAGCAGTTTTTAACCACCAAATCAACATGCAGTTGAGAGCCCTTTCCTCACATACCCCTTGTCCTGTTTTATAGCTGGAACACAGACTATGTAAGTTAAGAGTCAAGCCACACAACCAGATTATCCCAACACAGATTTTTTCAAACTATATCAGGAAGGTTATAGCCAGTATATTTATGACTGAAAAGTACAGACATTGAAGTTCCCATTTTTGACAGGAACACTCTTAAATGGGATAAAAATACTGATGGAAAAATCATGTGTCAGCAGGACTACACAGCACTGTGCAGAGTGCAAACTTACTGCAGTGGTCAAGTTCTCAGAGCTCTCTTGTGAAGGTTTTAAAGTACCAGGTGTTCTCATCTCCATTTCTGCATGTAGCTGTGTTGAGAGGAGGTACTAAGTGAAATAAATTAGCTGCTGAATTAAACCACAGCATCAATCTTCCCTACGAATTACCTGGTTTGAAAGGGAGCAAAGTATAGCAGGAATTGTGTCTGTTCGCGTACAAGGTCTATGGGTAAGGCCACAGCTGAGGTATGTAACCCATCAGTAGCAAGGATTCAGACATCACTATGTCATTCAATGACAGAAGCAGTTAGTTTCTTAGAAGACTGCTGTCTGAAAGGAAAAACATAAAGCATAGCTCTAGCCTATTGCCAGAAGTGTTTTGTTTTGACAAGGCTGAACATGCTTTCACTGGCACTAGCACAAGACAAGGTCATAAATGATGTGAGATAAGGATAGTTCAGTTGATACTTAATATTTTTTGAGAGACATCTTATATGGAGAGGAATACTAATATCCATCTTATTTCATGATAACTTCTACTAACCTCCATGTTGTCAGATGTGGATTCATCTGTGAACTGTGTAAGGCCACACTTCCATTAGGGTTCCAGCAATCAGGACTCCTGGATTTCTTTAAAGTAGTTTTTCCTTAAGAAAAAACAAAACTCTGGAAAAGCTAGAAGTCAGAGATAGGTTTTGAAGTCTTTTATTGCAAAAGGTATGGACATTTGCTGGCAGAATACTTGATCACATTCTCTACTTGACTGTCATCCAGAGGACACTGCATGCATTCAAGCTGAAAGCATAGGACAGTTTCCACTAGGCACCTGAGAAATTTCACAGGAAAGAAAAGTCTTTCAAGTTGAAAGAGACAAGTTTCAAACTGATCACCTACTCCGGTGCCCTTTGCTTCCCCCAGTTACCTGGGAAATAAGAATTAAATCAGCTATAGTCATAGCCAACTGTAAACATTTCCCTGCAATGCAACAGAAATTATTTACGTAATTGATCCTGAAGTGTTTTTTCCAGTTTCAAACAGGAAAAGTCTTTCCTAAAGCAGGCAGTGCAATGAGCTGCACCTAATTTGGCACCTACTACTCAATGCTGCATTATGCAGCAAAGGTGTATGATGCTTTCTCTCATCTGTCTTATATCAAAGCAAATCTGACAGCTCTTACTTGGTGTCCAAGAGACCACCCCACCCCAAAACATCTTTCTTCCCACTCCCAAGCCTAGTATCATCTCAGACCACTTCCCTACCCTCTTCAGACATGAGCCAACTCCCCTTCTCTTCCCATACCCTTGCCTGAAGGCATGATTAACAAGAATACATGCTGCTCTCCATATTACAGCTAATAACAAAAGTTATCTTCACACTTTGTCCCTCCAAATGCAGAACTCCAAATGCATCTGAATTTCAGTGATTTCAATGCCTTCCCACAGGTCTGATAAAGGTTAATCATCTTTGGCAGACAGCCTTCCTGCACCAAATGGAACAAATAATCCATTGCCAATCTAACAGGACACGCATTTTGCAACGGCAGCTGCTTAGTAACAGGAACTCGCTGCAAGAAAAGAAAGAGAGTTTAGAGGATGGTACCTTCACAAGTAAATGCATCTGAATACAGAATAGATTAGAATACATTAATTAACAGCTGCACTTAGCTGTAGGTTATAATGGACTTCAAACTACTTGAACCAGACAAAGATCTATCAAGGCATTAAGGCTGCAAGTCACAGATAACAATTCACAATTAACTTCCTTTCATGTAGCATGATTTTAAGTTCTCCAGCAAAGCTGCAGATTGTAATTTTCCACCAATAATGTGCACATAGGCCTCAATATTCAAATCAACATTACGATACAGGGCCCTAGGAGAGATGGGTGCATAGTCATTTGTGTTAAGACAGAGTAGCAATTATACCCCCCTAAGGCCCCTTGAGTTATTTTAATCACAAAAGCCACAATGAACTTGTTTGTAACAAAGGCATCTGGAAAGACATAGGTTGCTCTATTTAAATCAGTCAACTTGGAATGCACAGTTATTCACTCCCAGAGATATTACCCTTACTCCAGCAATGAGTATTTCAGTCACTAACAATTCAACACTCCAGTATATGTTCTGAAGAAGAGCTATCTAAAACTTTCAATGCTAAAGCACAATAACTTGTCACCACTCTACTTTCAGCTGTATTTCAGTGAAATATATATATATATAATCCATTTGATATTGTTCTGAAAGCTACCCAGCCAATTCCATGTCAGTTACTGCTGGATATGCTTTTACTGGAATAAAAGGCCTTTTGGCCTGATCCAAAACTGGCACTGGAAGAGTCCAGGGTTCCTTGATAGCCGTTTTACATCATACCCATGTCTTCAGTCCTAATCTATTTTTAGCAGACACTTAAGTGGAAGCAGCTCAGATGACTGACACTGACAACATGTTGATGATCAAAGTGTCCCCCCTGTCAAGCCAGGAAGAATTCAACATCTTCTCTATCTTGCATTATACAAACTACAGAGATGAGGTACACGAAAGACGCAAGTAGTAAATGCAGAGATACAAGACCTTTAGGAGGCATCCTGAGATGGAGCAGGAGGATCCTTGCTCTCAGGCTCTGGAGGAGGAGCTGGCACGCTTTCCTCTTTCTTTTGGGCAGCCAAAAATTCATGAATCGCCCTCTCTATCTGGGGCCTGAAGATGTGGTTTAGTTTTGGATCCACCACCTGAGAAATAATTCTGTCCACTCCAGCTTCCAGCATTCCTGACCTTGAACAAAGACAAAGGAGTCATTCAGCTCCTCGGAAAAACTTCTCCCCAAACTCCTCCAGTAATTCTCCAGAGCCCTCCAGTCAACTGCAATTAGCATTAACATGGTGAGAACTGCAGCCCACTCAGTAGATCCTTAACAGGGAGTTGTTTCAAGCACCTATTTCCCTCCCACCCCCTCTCACTTCTCCCTACAGAATTAACAACTGAGATCTGGTCTCCCAGGTACTTAAGTGACACGTTGGACAAGAGCCACTTTTAAGAGGGCTCATGTAGAAATGAGGTCAACATGAAAGCAAACAAACATATTTTGGCACAAAAAGGGAAACAAGCTATTCTGAGGAGGGCAGGTGAAAGCACAGTCCTTTTATTTTGGCTGTCTGGAGGGAGAAAAGGCCTGCCCCCTAATAACATTACTGTCACTCACTCCTTATAACTGTTAGTCTAGACAGATGGGTATTAATTATAAAAGCAAGCACATGTGGCACACAGAAAAGCTTCTGGAACTGAAAACTAGTAACTGAAGTGACTTATTACTTCAGGGGCTGCGTCAGACTTTTGGATTGTGGGGCACAGGCTGTCTAACAGGCTTAAGTCATGTCTGCAAGGGAGCAGGGGACAGGAAATGGAGACGTTGCCTGGCGCTCGGAAAAGGAGCCACAAGACTAATAAGGCCATGAATGCTGTGAGTGAGTGCGGGGTCATGGCACATCATGTCACCTCCAGGTAACAGCACCACCTATATGTGCACAGACTGAAGGACATACACATCTGGACACCCTCAGCACTCAGTCTTACAACTACAGGAGTGACAGGGACCCTCTAAACTCTCTAATGCTGCCTGCCTATAGCCTGCTTAAAGGGAGCATGTTACATTCTTCTCATTACAGGCTCCCTGATTTAACGTTCTCCAATTGTCCATTCTAGCGGTAGAGTACCATGAAATAAGAGGAAGCATTTACTGACAAACATTTCTCAAGGACTCCAAGTAAAGATAACAAATTGTGTACTTCCAGTGGACTCCCCCTTCTCTAATTACAGGTTAAACAAACTAATGTTACATACTAATGATTTACAGATTCTATCAAGTGCTCTGAAATACGGTTTCTTCTGTGCTCGAGACATTCTAATAGCTTTCCTTATAAGCATAAATGCCATTATGAAGTTCCCTATTGTCCCTCTACCCACAACTTTTACTATGAAGTTTTTATCCATGATTTCAAACAAGCTAAGGCTCCTGCTTCAGACTGCAATGAGCTAGTAGCAAGAGATAATAAGCCTAAGTCTCTAAGCAGGATAGTTTAAGCTGGTGCTGGAAATGTAACATGTTGAATAGCTGTACAAAAGCCACCCTCTGCTGCATGAAATCAGGCTAGCCCAGTGCGATTACTGCCTACTAGTGGTCAGAGTCTACTTAAGCTTTGGCACCTTCAGGACTTTAAGTGATGTATGCTCGTTTACGAAGATAAAGGTGATTCAGCTCAGTACAGTATTGCTAGCAGGCACTGTGATGGCTATGTGCAGTAATAACTTGGCTACACAGCTAATACAAGTACTTCACTATGCTACTCAACTCATGAACATACAAATTTCAGGTGAAGTAGTACTGTAAGCATTTTAATGAGAGTTACGGCTGTATCCACTATTACAATGAAACTTGTGAGAGTACGAGAGAAAGTGTTGTGAAAAACTTAAGTCTGTAAGTTCTTATTTGACTTAGATGATAAGATACTTAGATATTATTTATGAAATAGCATTACCATTATTTTACAGAATGTTGCTTACTTACTGAATCACACTCTGCCTTAGCCCATTTCGTAACTGGTTTTTGTTCATTGCTGGATTCCATTCCTGTTTGTCCAGGTGGGTTGATACAAAGTTGTCTACTTTCTGCCTCAAATTTTGATAGGCTGGCTAAAAAATAAGAAGGCCGGTTAATCAGCTAAAATATCTCAAAACAATCCCCTGCCAGAGTACTTCACAATACATCTTTTGTCACATACAGTACTGTCCTGTTGTCTGTATTCTCCATCCTTTCACTTTCTGAACAAAGGTAACCTTGTTTTACCTAAGAACACAACTGGTAATTGCAAAGAAGAGTCCATGTGCTATTATAGTAATTCAAATAGCTGGATAGATTGCTTTTAAAATTGTTGTCTGCTTGTAGTATTACTTAGTGAAAAGCAAACTGCCTATGCAGACAGGAATTGAGACAGCAGGGTTCTTGTTGTCTGGAAATGCTCCATCACAGAATTTGTAGAAACTGTGTCTGAGTAATATTGACACTAACAAAGAATTTAATTATTTCTTTCTGTGATACTAACAGAGATGATCAGAATTATGCGAGTGAAGACTTAATTCTAGTGAACAGGAAATAGACTAATAAACCTATATAAATACATAAGAACATCCAGATCCTAGTACTATGGAAGGAAAGAACAAGGTGGCAGCATTTGTATTTCACAATTTGAGATGCACATGGGATGATGAATAAAAGGGTTGGTAACAGAGGTGCAGTATCTGCCCTGGGCAGTGTATGTCTATCCTGGCAAAGCTGCTCTCGCTTATGGCTGCTCTGTGCAGGTGACCTGACCCCTTCAGGAATGGCTTTGCAATAGCTGCTGGAGTGGCCTAGAATAAACAGGAGTCTTGTTGGAAGCGTAAAAGTTCTGGAAAGCAAAACACCCGTGTTCAATTTTGACAGGGCAGCCATGAACAACCCAACGTCGATACTGCCAACAAACGCTCAGGAGTTCGTGTTGCAACCGAGGAACAAATCAGTTTAAAACAACAGTCTGAGAACATCAAGAAAGAAAGGTTAAGTGTTTTGGAAATGTGGGAATTATGCTCGAGAGGAGCAGTGTTCTTATGGGAAACCATTTTCCTAGGAAGGACTGGGCTACAAAATGAAGCCTGAGCCTATGCTCTGGCCTGTTTCCCCTCTGGGGTGCC